TGTGGCAGAAACATTACGATAACTTCTGCAAAAGGGTTGCACCTCAAATCAAGAGTATACTTGGAGGCTGTATTTCATTTTCCTTAGCACAGTCAAGTTTTTTCTCTCTCTCAAGAAAAGTCCCAGTTCTTGTGAGGCATCCATTACCACTCATACATGAGGCAAAAACAATTATTCAAGATGACAACTGAAGGGTCATTTGCAAATTTAAATTTATAACTACTGCAGTGTAAACACTTTAATAGAACACCAGAGGACCCTAGAGAATGAGAAAAGTTAGAGGCATCATTAGCTGTTAATTTAACAAATCCTTACATATTTCATGTAATTTTGTACTCCATTTTCCTGAAGATATACAGCTGCTTGAGTTTTGTAAAATTCCTCTGTGGCCTCAGAGTATGCCTTCTCGAAATTCTCTCTGTATATTTTCAGCTTGTCCAAAATTTCTGAACTAAGATTAACTGCAAAGACATGAATTTGCAAGAAATGAATTTAACAGTTGAGTATTTATCCCATAATATCACTGAAAATAAAATTTAAATATTAATTGATACAACAAACCTGGCTGACTTACTCACTTACTCACTGGCTATCCAACTTGCTGGCTCACTGGCTTATTTACAGCTAACTCAAAGACTCAATAATAGACTCACTGTCTGATTCACTGTCTGACTCACTGACTACATCATGATAATGCAGAAAGGAATGACAAAGTCATTGTGAGGTAGAAAGGAATAACAAAGACACATTCAAACCATTTGCTAGACACATTAATCTCCCTGATCCCTAATCCCTGACATACTGATGATAATACAATCTGACAGACAGACTAAATGACTTACTAAGTTGACCCACTGACCGATTCACTGCCTCAATGACTCAATGCTCAACACTAAACGCTGTTATTATGTATTTGTCATTAACACTAACAATCTTTAAGTTAGTGCATTTAAAGATGACACTTTCCTTACCATATGATTCTCTAACACCAATAACAAGCTGAGAGTCAAAAGCCTCTCCATTCCTCTCTGCATGAACCAACTTCATGGCACTTGACTGCAGTCTTGATTTTATCGTGGAGAATATACCTTCATTCCAACTATCCAACATCAACTACACCAAAAAAAGTATCTCAGTAACCCTACATTTAAAATCAGACCACAATTGTTTCATTCTTTTCACTACAGAAAAATGTTACACCTTCTGGACTGTTATTCCATCAGTGAGAGGTCTTTTGCTTGCTCCTCCACCAGCTTTTCCTTGTAAATTTGACTCCAATGTGCCAAAAGGTTTAGGGAGATAGTTACACTGAGTGAAAAACTTGGACCATTCACCAATGTAGGCTCTCAACAATGTGGAGTCATCTTCGTGCTTCAAAACACGCTGAAAGACAAGATTATCAGAAGGATAAAAAAAACAGTTGCATGGAAAAACCTCAACCCACTAAAAAGATTTCACAGTACGTGATAGTGCTGGTTGTTGATCAATTTTAAATGGTGATGGAGAAGTTAGCAATTAGCCCACTGTGTGTGTGTGTTTAAATGCTTGGCAGTTCTGTGAGTTCTGAATTTCTGTCAGTATTAACCCTTTAATCATAAAGATTGACTGGCGTCTTTTTTTCTCCTTCCAATGTCACAACAGTTAAGGAAATGATCACAAATCAAAGAAACTCTTGATTGTTAAACAAATTCTCCTACTCAGCCTCTTTGAAAATGTATCCACAAAGAACAGTATGGGGAATATATATGCTGATGTTAGGGTGTGAGAGGTTCTAAAATATAATTTTGCTATTTTGAATATCTCAGGCTCCCATTCAAACCAGCTTGAAGTTGAACTGGGTTGGCCTGATAATAAATAAACATATATATATATATATATATCTTCCTATTACACTCCACAACACTCATCAACCATCGATTCTAATTACTCAAGTTAAATCATTCTAAAAAAAAATGCACCTCTTGAAAAAGAATTTTTGGATCTCTATGTTAAAAGGATATCTATATCTATGGTAAACCATCATCAAATATTCACTCTTATTCACATTAAATGGTCATAAAGTGGGTCATTTTCAGTCCCTAAGGTAAAATTCAGGATTAATTGGAATTATGGCTATCCCAAAACAGTGATTCACAAAATACATGTTTATCTGTTGGACATCTACAGTGACACTGACCTCTCAACCCTCAGGCTGATGAAACACTTATCTTACCTCTTGTACTTGTTTAATAAAGTTGGTGACTTCATCTTTCAAAGCTTTGTAGATTTTCTGGCCCCCCTTTTCATCCCAGTTACATATTTTGTGAACATCCCTAAGTGTAACAGAAAAGAGAAGTTAAACAAGAGAAAAATGCATAAACAGCAAAAAGAGAAGTTATACAAACTTTAAATTTTAAGAAAATGTCATTTTGTTGGCGATCAATTTTTCACTGAAAGAAGGAGCAATGGCTTGCACAACTTGACTGTAGCTTAGGCACCTGCGATAGGAGTCATAAGTCTTAAATTTCAAAATTTACCTTGCAGGTGACCTTTCCAAGAGAACTTGAATGATAATGCTTATTTACATTTGATCTGAATTTTTCCATTTTAAAGTGGCTTGGTATCGTTATGGTTTTATGATCATCACAAAACCAACACCAACTTCTAAAAGGAATCCTTAAAGAGACTTTAAGAATGAAAGATTTAATTTTTATAAATCCATATCCTTGAAGCTGACAAGATCCTTACAAAATAATGTAAAATTGTTGGAAGGTCTAGCAGTTGATCCTGAACCATTACTCCCAAGTGATTGACATATAACTTCTACTTATATCATCCATATATTATACAGCAAACAGGTAATAAGAAAACAAACTTAACAGGTAAAATTTATCATCTTGATTTAACACCAAATTTTTGTCATTGATTTATGAAAAATTGTGTGGAAAAGGAGAATTAGCAATCACAAAATGCCCTTAATGCTATATTCTTTTTTGTTCCTTGAGGATCATTTTAGATCCTCTGTAGAGTTTCGTAATTATCCATAAAGTTCATATTAAACAGGCATCTATATCTCACTGCATACGGAAATAGTACCATGGACAGCTGCAAGAATTGATACCTAAAATAGTGTTTTTTCGTTAAAAAACTAGAAAATAAATTTTTACGATCGTACGAGCGAAGGAACACAAATTCATGTTCAGGGTAAAAATTTTAAGATTAAAAGGTGTTGTAAGCCTTTTTGAACGTCTCAGTCATTTGTAAAACTCCTTTAGAATCATAAGCGATTCCGCAGCATCAATATGTTTGTCGATCAATTTTGTTGCCAGCCAAAAATTGAGACCACTAAGATAGTGACGAAAAGAAAATTATGAATTCTCTGGTTTAAAAACAATTAGCGGTCTAATTGATTCTTCGAACAAAGATAACTCTGTTACAAAAGATCGCCTTCCAATTGCCATGAAAAACAAAAGTACATGTAACCGTGATATAATTTTCGGCCTACCAAAAGAGATTCTGCCATTCCTGCGTGGTGACGGCTTGTTGTTTCAAGAGTTTATTCACTGTGGGCTTAAGTTCGTGCCATTTGTCCTCAAACTGTACTCCGGGTTTCTTTGAATTCAACAGTAAAGTGGACATTTTGTCGACATTTTCCACCAATCTTGATATTTCGTGACAGATCAAGCTAACAAGACATACCCTTTGAAGATAAACCGCTGACTACTTTAAGGCTCTGACTTTGACTCAAAGAGCTCTGGGAACGAGAGCTATCACTGACACAAATTTTGCAGTTTGTAAAAAGTATTATTATGAACTCTTCTAGGAACTAATACTTTCTTATCAAATAGCAGAAAGCAAACAGAAAAGAGGTGCAATATTTTTCATCTTTTTTTTATTTTAAGGGAAGGGAAGGGAGTGGTAGTGCCATGCCATTTCACGATATCATGACCGCGAGTGAAAAATATGAGGCCACTGGGAACGAGTTACAATTTGCACAAAAGTTTCAAGACTAATCTTCTTTTGTTCTTGCCCAACTTTGGAGCGCATTCGATGTCTGCAAACAATTTTTTTTATTAAAATACATTTGTATTGGGCCTATTGGATATACAGTGGGGAATCTCACTCTAACAGCTGGACGGAATGGCTTGGTGGATACTTCGAAATTCATAGCTAAATGAAATGGAAATGGTCTCACTGCATGCTTAGTCACTTGCTTGGCAACTTTTTGGCAAATTTTAAGATTTTCGGCAACTTTAAGAATTCTCGGCAACTTTTGATTTTTCAGCATTTTCAGCATTATTTTAGATTTTTTCCACATTTATCAGCTTTCCAAAAAACGGTCACCTATAACTCAGCTAGTTTATACTGTGTGGGGACCCCACGAGGTTAGTGGTATCACGTGGCAGGTTGTAGCTTGTCGCAAGCCCTTACTATCCGGCTAAAAGTGGATTATTCACATGTTATGCATACTCTAATATAATTTGTAGCATCTATGTTCTATTCTAAAAATTAAATTTTGTTAAGAAACAAAGTGCGAATAAAATCTGCATCTAGTTGAGGGATCTAAACCACAAAGAAACCAACTTTGAGCGCAACCAAGTAAATGAAAAACACCCACATTTCGGCAACTTTTGGGGAAAAAACAGCAACTCTTCAGCAACGTTTAGACACTTTTATCAGCAACTTTTTAAGATTTTTTGGGCAACTTATGGCTATGTCTACCCACTGCTAAACTATTATCTTCTTTCACACGCAATATCAACACGCGTTCTTCGCCCTGACGAGGGGCTAACGTTTTAGAATCTCTCAACGGTGATAATTTACATAATTTACATAACCAATTCCGTTGATAGAACCAAATTAAGTTGTAGTACCCCGCCAACGAAGCACCGCAGTTTCTCTAGTAATCTACACCCTATGGTAGCGTTTCACTCATTTCCTTTCGTAGCAAAAGTTGATCAATGTTTTTCACTTTCTTGTCGATGATACCAAAGAATATGCAAATCAGGAAAAATCTTCTTTTTATTGCAACCAGCCTAGTAATGTTATATTTCAGCTTTGATTTTTAAGAAAAACTTGTTGCAAGTTTTGTCGTTAACCATAATTGCATTGCAGTAGATTAACATTGTAGTTTACTTCCATTTAAAGGGATAAGTTTCCATATCATACAATTTAACATGATTTCGACCATTTTTCAAGTTAACGTTGCAAAATACTTTAAAATTAAATAGAAAAGTCAAAACCTAGTCGCGTTAGTATTAATCTCTGCCATAAGTGATAATAATGGCGACCATTATATTCAGCACTTTAAAACAATTTGTAAGCTAGGTTTACGATTTACTGATTCAAGCTGAATTTTTGTTACAAGAGGCTTTTTACTATCGCGATTCATACCGGGACTTCGTTTGAGTATCAACAATAAATATATACTTTTGTAAGCCTCCCGACTAAGACAGAAAAATCCCTAAGTTACACAAAGAAAAACATACGCTTCTGCCGAGGCGTTCTCTTTCCGAATTCAAACCGACTAAGATCATTTACTTTTAATTGAATCTTTCAATTCTTCGTCTTTGCACATGCGTAAATAACCAGTTATCCATTTCATGACGTCACGAGTTATATTTGTCCAAGAAGATACTTGACCAATCAAAAGTAAATTTTACTTTCTCACTCTTTGTTGTAGTTGTCGTTGATCATTTTTCAGTGGATATACATGTAAAACTTCGTTTTATTTTTTATTTATTTATTTATCTTCCAGTTGTCAATCAGTAGAATTGTTAACCCATTCAAGCTTCGATTCTTTCGAGTCCTAACTTGAATAGAAACTCTTCTTTAGCATCGTCTACGCTTCCTTTCCTTCCTTCTCTTCTGGCTTCCAGTTTCCTAAGCGCGCTGCGGTAGCGCGTTTTCATTCGAAAATCTACAGCTCCATGCGTCGGACTCGATCTTCGAGGAATCAATAAAGGGTGAACCTGTTTAGATTTTGGTGAAGACGAAGAATTTGGCGATAGTTTGTCTCTTTCCAAATCCCGTTCAAGTCCTGTCTCCTTTTCTGAAGCCAGTGGGCTTCGTTTTTCGGTTAAAATTGCTTTTTGGTCGCGTTTAGTGATTTCATCTCTCGGGTCCTTTTCGTTTTTAACCTTTACGGCTGTTTTTTCGTGCATAAATCCATTTACGCGCCCGAAGTCCATAGTTCTCCGCCTGTCGCCATCGAAACTCCCTGGATGAAGTCTGTGATCGCTTTCAACAGAAGAACACCGAACCGGGAATAAATTAGAGAGATCTCGATGGTGTCCGAATGACCACAGAGAGTAGCGATCCCTGGGTGAAGGAATGTGAATCCCGTTTGTTCCGTAAGCATGAGACACAGTTTCAGGCGCGTTGACCCGTCGGTGGTAAATTCCCGGTGCTCCTTTCGGGGAATGAAAGGAGTTTGGATAGTCCGGTGGGAAGTTCATCCTTGGGGCAACCCCATAGTGTTCCATAGGAAATCCCCTTTCGGAATAAGGTATATCATCATCTAATCGTAACTTCTTAGGGGGGACGTGAAAGGCAGAACCCCCTGCAGAAACCCTCAGAGGGTCCCTTAGAGAAGTACGCCCCTGAAAGGAGCCTACGTTTTTAATGTTTTTGTTTTCATCGCTTGGAAGACTGTTTTGGTGGTTTTCGTTTCCCCTCTTTATACAGTTGTTTTGATCATGTCGTAGCCCCCTGTGGTGGCCAGGTAAGGATTTCTCGCGACTGAAAAGAAGATCATTTATGGCGTCTTGTGCAAACGACTGCTGATCATCGAGAGCCAGGTGAAGTTGTATACCCAATACGTTGCGGAGGGCTCCTTCGTAAACATCAGCTAAACTGCAAAATAAAATAATAAAATGGCTTTTTAAAGACTGCTGCATACGCTCAGATAGACATATGCGCTGCCGCGCGCGAGTAATTTCGAGAGAGGCACACGCGTGCGCGCATTTTTTTGCGTCAGTCCGACAATGTAATGATCAATAAAATCAAGAAATCATAAAGTGCATTATAATCTCTTGATAACATATCACAAAAATTGTGTTTTTTCTTCAGGCCTCTCATCATCCACTCCCAAATTTAATATATCAGTCAGTAATGATTTTTTACCTATGCAACTTTTTGACACTAAACAGTGTCCTTTAGGAGTTGGATGACTCAGAAAAAATTACCGGTGAAAACGAACTTCACAGCTCATGCCATAAATCTAGCATTAATATAGTTCAGTTTCCTAAGAAATTTCGGATTAGAGCGCTTGCTACATGTGCCAAGATACTGTGCCGTAAAACTTTGAAAGCAGTTTTCCGGTTTTCGCTCAGATGATGAAACCTTGCCGGTGTAAAAACTTTTGATGTGTTCTTCGCCTATGAAAAATAGTAATTAAACTGTACAACAAAACAGACTGCATAACATAAAAGATAAATAACAAACACTTATTATGTCTTGGAAAAAGAAAGCAATTATGTACAAACGTATTCATTAATCACACGAAAAAATAAAACGGATAACCATGGCAAGGGCCAAATTAAAAAAGAAAAAAAAAATTAATCTTTTTTTAATACAATGTAATTTCAGAAAATGATTTTTTCTCGAAAATCTCAATAATTTCAGAGGCTGCTTTGACAGAACTCATTTCCCACGAGCACTCTCAGTATTTAGCCTGAGCAATCTGGCGCAATCATAAACATATTGGAAAGCATCTCAGCGAAGCTTTGAACATAACCTTGGCGAGTTTATACATTTGTGCCAAATTATTACTATGATCTTAGAGCGTTAAAGTTTCTCACTGATCATTACTAAGATTAAAAAAAGGTACATATGAGAGTGTAACCAGAAGAAAATAATATTTAAAACGGGAGGAAGCCATTCATTAATAAGAAAATCTCTGTGTTGTACTTTTCCCTCGGGGGGAAAACTAAAAAAAAAATATTTTAATTTGCATCTCCAGCTTTTTTTCTTTTGCTTATACCGTTTTTAAAAAGTAACTACATAAGCCGACACTTTACTTTAAATAAAACAACAACAACAACGTACAGAGATGAGATATATGAACCGATTAAAAGGAAATATTCAATTTTAAACCGAAAACATCAAAATCGAAGCGGTTCTCGGAAAATTTTAAAATGGCTTCCCTTAAGCTCGGAAATTTATCTTTAAATCACCTAAATGTTATCATAGAATACACTAGAATAATGCTGAAATTGATGCTCCCCGTTCTCTTGAGACCTTTCCATGTTGCTCTGAAGTAATTATAAATATTATATCTTATGATTTATTTCGGCTTTTTCAAGGTAAAGAAAAAACACCCGTTAATTTTTAGCAGCACTGTAAAAAAGCTCATCTTTGATTTCAATTTGATTTGCATTACTTGCTAAAAATTCACTGCCTTTTTTTTCAAGGCGACAAATTATGAATGCCTGGTACCTGTTTATATGTAGATTTTGGTGGCGCGCAATATATTTTTTTTATTTATTTGTTGCATATGCATTAGTTACGCAGCTGTATTTGAATAGTTGCTCGTTACAACTTGTTTAGCGTGTAAAACAAAACAAAAAAGGTTCCTGCTATTTTTAAAGAGATTTTGCTAGCCCCATCTGCCCTTTGGAGAGCTTAACAAAGGAGAGCGTGCATTTGAGAGGATGAATCTTTCGGAAATATTTCCGATAATATTACAAGTAATGAGGTTTACCCTGAGAGTGACAGATGTAAAGTCCAAATATCTCTCGCGGAAATGTCCAAAGAAGCTCTAATGTAACCGAATAAGTAATTGCATGTTAATAAGAAGCCATACGGATCGCAGAACAAATCTAGGCAGGAACATCAACTCGTAGCCAGGTTAAACCATTGAAAACGTTATTACTGTCAATCTAAAAACGCTATGATCGATAAATCAGCGAAGATTGCCTTGCACTACGTCGCTGAAGTTGTGTGTTTTTGGCTCCCGTGCGCACTTTGTCGCGACAAGTAGTAACTGCTGACTCTACTTGTCTACGGCATGTATTAATAAAATAGAGAGCTAAAGTGACCTTAGTGTCTCGCTTGGGCACTGTTTCGGCCGTTTGTCCGTGACTCCGCCAGACTTCTGTTGAAGCATTCTGTTTTGAACGCTGAATAATGGCGAGCAGTCTTCGGCGATGTGTGAAGATAGCGGGACCCCACGAACATCAAGTTGTAAATTGTCTTCGTTAAAAGACCGCTCGGCTCAATTCAAGAAGGTTTATTTGTGCAATCCGCTGAAGCAGATGGTTTTGGCTGTCTGCTCGAGGGCTCAATGAATATTCATAGGGCATTAAGATCGTCTCAAATTCAGCTGCTTCGATTCCATATTAGGGACTGTTTTTCCATCGGAAAGCAATCTTTTAAATTTTCTGACATTTTCAATCAATTTAAAACTGGATAAAATGTTTGAAAATGCTTAAGATGACCCCGCCAATTGTTGGATGAAAAAATTATCGTAGTAATTCACAAGTTGTGCCTTCAAATTCGGTCTTTTCTTCAATAATTTATGAGAAACAGATGAGTTTTATTTGGCCAGCTAAGTAAATCCGATAGATTTAAAGTGTGCACTGTGAACTAGCAAGAGAGGAGCTTGAGTTTGTTCATTTCTGTGTTGAGTTGACAGATCCGTTCGGAATCATCACGGAAGTAATGCTATAATATTATTATATCTTACATGGTGGAGCCTTGTTCGGGAAACATGATCCACAGTTGAATATTTCAATTCAGTCGCTTTTAGTTTGAACTGAGAAAACCGAAAATTTTACGACAGTGGTCGAGGTATTCCCGAACATTTTCTTTAACCGTGTCGGAAACGCACTGTTCTAGAGAAACAATTTGGAACGTATGATGTCTTATCCAAAATTATAAACAGGAAAAAAGATCATGTAAATGTTTTTTGACTATAAACAAAGTGACCGACTGAAAAATACTAAGATGATTAAAGTGAAAACAGGTTGATATTTGAAAGAAACTGAATTTTTACAAATATTCCAAGCCTATGTTTATCTTGACACGATTTTGACCATTTTGTCTCCTCACATGTACAGCTAATGTTTGTGTTTTCAAGAGTTTTAGTTCAATGTTTCATCAATAGGTTTACACCCGACTAAATAAGAGACTAGTCTGAGACCAGTTTCCCAATTACTTCATCTCTTCTGTATTGGCAGTGAACTCGGGCGAGGCTCCTCCAAAATTATTTTCCCCGTGTTTCCGTAGCACGACTTTATATACTTCATATCATTTCCACTTATACTCAAATTTAAAACTGAGCAGTTTTCAATTGATTGTCGTAAAACCAAAACCAAAGCAATCACAACAGCCAATCATAACAAAGGTTTGCGTCATCAATAACCAATGATGGCTCGAAATGAAAACTGGCAAACTACCAAATTAAAAGAGCGGGAAAACGCGGGCGACCAAGTCACGATTGGTGTTTCGTTTCGTGTCTAATTGGTTTAGAGCATGGCACGAGTTTTCAGGACCAATCACAAAGCGAAGTAAAGAAAAATCATGGCAATCCTGGACTACTCTCGACATTCAGTTAAAAATTACTTTACGGCGATCTCCAACGGCGATTAAGGTTTAGCTTTTTACAGTCTGAGGCTACCGGCTAGCGCGCACAAGGTTTTTGCCAGTAGTTATTCTAACAATAAAATCATTAATAATTCTAAGTAAATTTTCCTTCCAGTCCTTTTTTTTTCAGAGTTTCAGCTGAGGCAGCAGCGCTTACTTACGATTTTAAGGCTTTCACGTGTAAAGCAGACGCAATCTGAGAATACACGCCGACACATGATGAAAGGAATGACTTTTCCCGCTGTCACTATATGACAAACGTTTTGAATTTCCATGAGTTTGCTCCTATGAAGAACACCTTAGCATAAAGAAACACAAAGATAATGTAGGTCCGCCATGCAAAAAGATTGTTAGAACGTGTTTAACTCCTGTTAACTCAAAGGAAAGGATGTGTTCATGTTGTTGTTGTTTTTGTTTCTGGTTTGTCTCTCAGCAAGCTTCTCCCGAAAACAGATAAAGCAAAAAAAATCTGAAATAAACCCTGATTGACATCATGCAAAGAGCGATAATATTGTGTTCTTAAAACAGATTATGCCATATAGACTGGATTATATTGGGTTGTAATTATAAGGCATATCATATATTTGATCCGCTGTCTGACTAATCTGTACTTATGCATATTTGTTCGCTCGTGAGCTCAGAAATTCATCCATGTAATCACTCTTGCTCAAATTTTTCAGACCGAACTCTGAATCGAGCATCAGCTCAGCAATAATCATTTTGTCTCAGTTGAAACCTGCACAGACTACATTAGCTTTAGTTTTCTACTATTCTCGGAATTTTGAGCTAAAAATATAAATGCAAGCTTAGCTTTGTCACACTCTACTTCACCGATCACGTACGGATCTCGGCACATGCCGAAAAAAGGGGCCTTTTTTAATTAAACTTTAATTCTTGCAATCGCGGAAAAGGGCAGTCGCTGGAGGAATGTTAAGAGTGATTCATAGTTTCCAGAGCAATCATTGACACGGGATAAGAAATCACGAAGCAAGATTACATGTTTACTTCAAAGATGAGCTTCATTGAGCCGGAAAATTATGGAGTCTTTGATCTGAATGTAAAGGAAGCTATACCATATTAACCGAGAAGATATTGTTTAAGTATAACTTGGTTATCAAACCGGCAGTATAAAATGATTTCTGAAAGAGTTTATGCAGTTGTCAGCAATGTAAAAAGTTAAAACAGATCTTAAAAGGTCGACTTGCCTTTTGCTGCAGATGATACAAGCCACAGATTACAATTATTTTGTTTCTGCATATTTTGGAAAATTCACTTAACACATAACGGTGTAGTTATGCGATTCTAGCCTGAGTTTGAAAGGGCTAATAAATGAATCGTCCATCGAGTACTGCTGCAACATGTGAAATTTCCTTGGTTAGCAAACGAAATTAGGCATCTTTCAAGCGCAGAAAACTAGCTTGTTAGCTCACGGGTCAGAGTAAAGGTCGATATTCAAGATTCTGTCTTGTCAAAATTTTTTCAAATATTATTATTTCAAGATGTTGTAATTTTGTAAGAATTTGTATCAAACTATTTCAGACCTAAACTGACTTTTTCGGCGTGTCCATCGCAGTGGAAAATATTAGAGTCACTTTACTGACTATTAAAGTGAATCAATAACACTTAGCAACTACACTCCGTAAATGTATCAAAGCACTTGGTCATAAAGAGTGTACGACATTTTAAATGTTTCGTTCGGAGCAAGTCAGTTAAGTTTATCTCAGCATGTCAAAGAACCCGTCAGCTAAATAAGTGATGTTTTTGCGAAAGTAATTACCAGTTTACACTGCAGCCCTTAATCATTTATTCAAACGTTGCTTGTAATTAAAAATTAATTACCCGACTCTGTATATTACAGAGTAGAGATTGAGTAGCTTCATTCTATACCGGTTGAAACATTAAAAAGGCTCCGTTTAAAACCGAATTTTAATGAACAGTTTGGGTAATTTTCGCCGGAGTAATTGTGTAACCTCGACAAATGTGTAATTTCCATTAAATTAGATGACAAACATGGCAAAACAAATGAACGCAATATTAATAATACATAAAAATTAAGGACATGGTAAAAATTCAACTTGAAGATTTGAAGAAGAGCTGTACTGATTCGAATCCATCATTATGTGAGATTGTCAAACTCAAATTGCCAAGTTTAGAACCATTGTTGAAGTAAATAACTTGCCGTATTTACCGCCCTTGTAGGAGGTATATCGTATAGGTAAAACCTTGCGGGAGACAAGAGCTTCTTTTAAAGCCGATTTTTAATTCAATTATTCCCCAAGTCCCCAAGAATACTCTCAATATATTTTTCTCAATAATCCAGCCAGGAATCATCGATCAAATTCTATTAAAATAATCTCGTTGACTCACCTCGTAAATTCGGGTCGAATCACTCCGTTATGTCGTTCTGATGGCGTGATTCGCTGTCTGCTGTCGATGTCCTTGGATGTTCTGTACACTGGCTGCATGAACGGCTTATGCCTGACATCTGCCCGTCTCATATTGTCCGCCTCCCTACTTCGGAAATCCGCGAACTGAAGTTCTTCTCGGTTATCCACTCGGGGCGCAAACATACTTCCTGCGATAGAATCACGGGTACCATGAACAACTCGCAGATCCATTTCAAGCTATTAAATACGCGCTTGTGTTTCCTTCGCTGCCGTATTATCCCCACTAGAGGATAACGCAGTCGGTAACAAGCAGCTGTCGGTTGCTGTGTCTCTCTCTATCAGTTGTGATTTGAAGTGAATTTTGATGTGTCGTGCGCCTTGTGTAATTAATAGGTTTCACGAGCGAGCGATTTCACTTTAAATTCATGTCCTGTTTAGTCAAGTGCTCCGTTTGTTGCTCGGATGTGAGTCTTCAAGCTGCCGTTTGAAAATATGAACCGCTGGATACAGTTCACGGTAGAATAAATTACTGGCCAGATGGGCGAATATTTTATTGTTCAAAGTGGCATGCTTTCTCGTGTATAATTCATGAGGTCGAAACACTTTTCTTTCCTGCTATGTCGCAGTGATATTGGAGAGTATTACTTTTAGGAAGTATGTCTCGACTAATGATTCGATTCATTGCAAAACCGTTCGGAAACGACTTCGCGAACTAACTTGCGAAAAAAAGTTTATAAATAGTATCATTAAATTCTTGAAACGATTCCGACCAATTAGAAAGCGGGAAATCGCCACGAATCGGAACTTTAATACTAACCGTAGTGACAATTTCTTATTTTTCAATTTCTTCATTCTTTGTGATTTTCATGGATGTTGAATTCATGCTACGACGTGAAGTTTAAATGAAGATTGACGCGTTTCGTTTGCCGTGCAAATCCCACACTTATATTTACAAACAATGCCGAAGCTAGCACTGCTCGATTTCAGGTCTAAGAGAAGGCCTGACGCAACATTTCGCCATTGTTTAGCAGACTACCAGTAATGCAGGTGTGCGAAACTATAAACTCAATTCTCAACCACGATCGATAAGTTCTTCGAAGCAGCGAGTTTCGCCAGCTAATTAAAAATCTAAGCAGATGTCTTCGGCAAAACGCCACTGGGTGAGATATATAATCGCGAATACATCAATTATGAAACAGGGCTGAAACTCTAAGATATTGTTTTTCTTTACGAAAGAAGCTTTCCGCTGGAATATCTAATTTATAAGGATTCGTAGGAAACGTTTTGAGTTGGCCGCTGATAATGTCGAACTTTGTTACGCTCTATCTTGTTACTTACCAGTGCATGTGCAAAGCTTGAAGTCCGGACGGAAATTTCTGTGAACTTACGCGACATTTGACTCTTAAAGCGCATGGCCATTCAAGAAATAAAACAACGAAATATTTATCCTAAGGAATATAATTTATATCTCGATTTCGCCGTAAAACACAGCTTTCTCGATATGCAAATTGTGACATAGATTTCCAACCTCACGAACAAGCATTGAACGCAAGATTCAAATGATTTTATCGCCGTATTGAATCGGATTAACTCAGTTTTCTTTAAGCTTCTGCGCGGTTTCGCCGATGCGAGAAACATTATAAAATAAAAGATTAAGAAAATGTGGAAAATGCTGAATTACAAAAATACCTGAAATGTTTGCGAGCATCTCTTCCTGCGAGTCAGTTTTTTTTCCTTATGGGCTCTCTTCAGTCCATATGTTATCTCTATTGACAACAGCTCCTCTCACAAAAGAATTATTAAGTAAACTCTAATTAAAATATGCCAGCTGGCCAAAACAATAGGCAACTTCTTCAGGGGCCGAATCAATTTGGCTCTCTTTTGTAAACTTCGCGGCGTTTAGCCTGTCATCTGAATTAATCTTCGCAGCTGACCTCACAAAATGATAGAGCAAATCACTCCTATCAGGCATAAAATTGAGCTACCTTCACTGTGCAACTTAATTTTCCATTATGCTCCTGTTTCCGAGATGACTGGTAGCGATTTCGTTTCCAAGTGACGTTACATTGTCTTCCTTTTCCGATGTAAAAATGTGGCATAACTTTAATTGTAACGTCTTTAAAACGTCATGAATTTCCTTGAAAACGATTTGACTTTTGTAAACACTCCGCAGAATGGCCTTTTGTTCGCTTGTCATTTCTTTTTTTGGATCAAAATTTCTACGATTTTTAAGAGGTAGGATTTGAGATAACACTTCATCGGACGAAATATTGAAAAATTTGAAGCACGTATTTGCGAGACGATGTTTTAAATTAGGTTAATAGGAAAAGAAGCATTTAGATTCGGCTTTAGCAAGCATAAATATGTCAGTCGTAGCCACTATCTTTCAGGAAGTTGACTAAAAAATTTTTCAGATATGAATCAGAAAACATCACTCTTTAATTGACTGAGTTGTTCGACTAGCTCGCATCGTTTAAACAGAATTTGCTGGCTTTGCAAAGACACTTGTTATTTCAAATTAAGGAACAATGTCTTTTGTGTTCAAGAGATCTAAAGCCCTGATTCCAAATCTCTTTTAAACAAAGGACCACGCGATCTCCTTGTGGAACACTCAGGGGAAGTCAAAACACTTCATTATCACAACACGCGCCGGTCTAGCTGAAAGGAATTGTTCCACTGTTTGAAAAATCAGCTTTTATTTTCTTTTTTGCACACGCTGCGTTTGAATGCAAGTCGTCAACATGCCTCCTGGCTTGTAAATTCCTTTATTATCTTTTCAACTCATTGATTCGCTCTCTTCGTTCTTTCTCGAAGTCGTGATTATTAATCTAATTAGAGTTAAGACTCTCACCAACAGTCAACCAACAACAACACCCCAGAGCCTCCACTTAAGTTAGTTCCTGTTTATGTGGTCCCAGGTTTCCCCCCCCCCCCCCCAACCCTTAGGAAAACTTTATGGAGCGTTTACATGGAGTTGTGAGTTGTAACATCTGTCCCCTAATCAGTTTCTCCGCTGACCTAAAACACATGAGCTCCCTAAACAATTTTAGCCATCTCATCTCAGGCCGGCGAGCCAAAGTGTTTATGACGTTTATGTGAGTAAAATTTGTCCCACCTGACAGGGTTACCCAATATGCCGCGGCGAAACAACTCGCTCTTCCGGAGTTGTCTTGCCCCCCCAAGGCGACTTTGCCAATTTGTACAAGGTTGATTGAGAAATAAGAAAGCTCGGCCAGGGGACCTCGGGGAAAGGGTTGTCACGGGTACCTGAGACAATATAAATGGGCCCCCAACGAACGAGCGTGAACAAGACTCATTCTTCCAAGTTGCCTGCTCGTAATTAAACGACAGATCTTCTTGGCAATTATCACTACCCTGGTTGTTGAGAAATCGGACACAGAGCTAGCTTATCTTCCTGATGAAATAATTTTTACGATGATAATTAAGGCGGAGAAATGAAGTGAGATCCCAGTACCGAACCGGGGCAGTTATGGGCTCATTAGCGGAGGCTCTTGGTTCCTAAATGCAAAAATTCAGTTTAATTAAAACTAAACCTAGCATAGAAACACAGATAAACATACTCTAATAAATTAAATTTTCCTTTCAAAAAAAGGAGATCAGAGATCAGAGATGACGTCAATTTGAAAATACTACTTCAAAACGCAGCTCGAGCAAAGGCTAAACCTGATTGAATTATTTGCCACCAATCCTCAAAAATTATTATTACATTTAAAGTCGTTTTCTACATGGTATAATTTAAGATAACAACACGATGCATTTATCTCTCTTTGAGCCTGAAAATCACAGTTTTTACGCCTGTTACGATTTGGTACATGAAAAAAAGTACCATCGCATTGCTTTTAATTAGTAAGTCAGCGTGAAGAAGTTATATTTTTTCATACCGCTAAGAAGTAATTGGAAGATATGAGGAAAAGAACTCCCTGGTAAAGAATTAGCGCACCCGCTTGCATGAAGCTTCGAAGTTTTATAATTAGTTGGTCATGTAAAGTTAGTTAAAGATTTCGATGAGGTAAACCAAAACTTTAGCCGTTATGTGTAGGAACTGAGAGAATTCAACTGCCGGTTGTAAAAAAAATTCACAGTACCAAGTTTCTCTCATCGAAGATCAAAATCTTCATATATATATATATATATATATATATATATATATATATATATATATTATTTCTATACATGAATAGAAAATAACCTATATATAATCTCTCGTATACATTAAGGTCAATAAAGGATACATTTATCCTTTCTGTTATAATTCATGGTTGTTTCTGAAGGTAAATGCCATTCCTATAGACCGTAATCACTTTTTTTTTTCTATCTAAATAAAAAATGAGTAAACGAATGGTCTTAGCTAGGGTGCTTTAGAATAAAAAAAAATTAATTATTAATTTTTCAAGACAAGTGAAATTAATTTTTAACAATTTTTGTTTCCCGTTAGTCGTAAAAGCCATCACCCCACTAATATCTCCCTAGTTGTCTGAGGCTGTTTACTCAGTTCGGAGTATTTTATTTATATATTTTAATTATTATTGTTTTATCTTTGCTATCAAAATGTTGGATATTGAATAAAAATAAATTGTAAATTTAACGGCGGAAGTAAACGAGGCTCGTTTCCTGCTCTAAGACAGACTCGATCTGAGAACGAGAGCGATGGAGCTTTTTATTTATTAGGTCTGGCCGAACTGAAAATATGATTCTTGCCATCGTGAACAGTTAACCCAATATAATTTTCCAATAGGTCTATGAACAGTCCGTTTTTCCAAGTTCTATCCAAAATTCTCATGTTCTGATTTGCTGCAGGCAGTTAGTTTGCGTTGCGATCGTTTTACAGCAACTATCTTTTACGTTGCCCTTTCTATTTCAGCACATAACTGAATTGATGCTGAAAAACCCATTTAGGGAGCCTCAGTAAAGATCTGTATCTGTATCTGTATCTGTATTTGAATGCATTTTCTCTAATTGATCTCTCGCGTTCTTTAAAAGTTATTTAAAATGCGCGACATTCCCAGCCTGTGATCAATCCTAAGCCCATGACAGTTTTATTGCCATACTCGTCTTAAAACGATAACGGAAGAACAAAATATTTATCTTTAGAGACCCATTTCAAGAAAGCACCGCAAAAAAATTTCGACATGCTTCAAAAATAAAGCGCTATAATCGAGTAAAGCTACTTTTGTATTTTACTAAAATAATTCCTGCAGTGGCCCACGCATGTATTTTTGGATCATTAAGAAAAGGTCTTGCTATTACATCCTGCCGTTTTGTATCAATATCCATCTATCTTTCAACATAAAACTGTTTTATTTGACACAACACATTGTGAAACAAAGCGAACGTGGTATAATTAGGCCAGTAGTGGTTTAAAATTCTACCAATAGTGAATCGACTGCCTAACAGAGTTCTACAAAGTAATTCGATTTGTTTTGAATTTTGGTCCAATGTTCACACCACCTGGAATGGTTCATAGCAACAGGACTGCAAAACCAAGTTCATTATTTCTACGTTGCACGAGCATAGACATTTCTCTCTGAAACTAAATCAGTCATGGATCGGAGGCATCCCTTTTTGCCCTTTATCAATGGAGACCGATACTCTACTTCGACAGCAAAGCGTGCCGCGAATTCATCGCAAAAACAACCCCACGCAGTGGATGATGTTATGTGGAAAAATCCATCTTTAAAAAAACCATGGAAATATCAGAGAGAAACTGAGGAGTCAACGAAATTTGGCGATCTTCAATACAAATCAGAATTATTTCAAGGGTACAATATTTCGACACCTGAAGGAATTGAAATTACGACCAAGAATAGAGCCGCTTATGTCAAAGATTTCGTCAAAAATTACGCATACAAGCGGGAGTCGGAGTTTCCTAAATTTAATTCAAAGCATAGTTCTCGGTTGGGGAAAAAACAACAGGCACAGGAATGGACCATTTCTAAGAAAAATACCAAAGCATTATGTATACCGACGCTGCATTTTACTGAAGAAGTAATTCAATATATGGGGGACCCGAATTTATCATCGTACTTTTCGTCTGACATGAAAGAGTTGTACAAGATTAAAGACCTTTCTATATCTCCAGGGCGGCGAAAAAACAACGACAAATCGTTGAAATCAAGTTCCAGGCAAGTCTTACCCAGAAAACATGCACTTTGCATGCCAGATAGTAAAGGAAGCACTCTGGAACTACCCCCGAAATCAAAATCATTTCTACGGAAGAAAGAGACCGAAGAAAATATCCTTAAAACGCAGGTTGGAAAATCAACCCATCTGTGGGAAAAGTATGTGTTAGGACTCATTAGCAAACAGACAGCTCAGTGGATAGCTAATCAGTGCTCCACTGGCGAGCAGCGAGGGAGATTGATAGCTTTTTTGGATGAGAAGTACGAAATCAAAGATCTCGAGAAAAATGGAGCAGCCACAGTGAACAAAATATTGTCCATTGACGATGACGCAATCACGTTTCCCAAAAAAGAAAAGTTTAATCCTCAGACTGCATTTGAAAATCTGCGTAGCGATACATAAAATACATCAAGAGATCGAATTCATCATGATTAAGGAATTCCTTTCAAGCAACTAAACAGACGAAACATCTGTTATACCAAAATTCTGTTGCATCGATACAGTCATTAATGACTTACATCGACGAAATTTAAAGTTCCTTCTTGGCCTGGATTAGCGAGGGGAAAAGGCTGATGACGCTAGAACTGAATAAACGTCAAACAGATGAGCAAAACTATTCGTGGCTTGTAAGTTTAAACTGGATGGCAAACCAAAAAGGTTTTTTTTTCTTTCCCAAATAGCCATTATCTAGCGTCAAACTGGCGTCTCCCAGTGGATGATGGGGAGCCTAAAGTATCCATCGCCGCGGAATTATCACAGCATGAAGGAACCTGTGGTTTCCTTCACATTTCTTCAAAGCGTCATCTGATTTAAGGATAAGTAGATGGCACAATAGTGAAAGGAATTTCCTTATGAATAACGTTAACATAATTTTTCTCTATTAATAACATAAGTGATTGTTTCTATTTTGGGACAAATCACCCGAGGCTCGCAGGGACCTCATTCTTACCTCTCTGATTGTATTTATTGAAATATTTTAAAAGTATACTGAAATCAAGACCCAAGTAAGCATAGGATTGAAAACAGACGCAGCATTTACAAAGTTTCAAATTGTGTTGTTAGGGATAGTTAGGCTGTCGTTATAATTTTCATAATATCGTTCAGGACCCTCCGTGGAACTCATTTGCATTTCGCCGTGGAATTTTTTTACAGAAAGGGTTTGTAAAATTCCACAACTTTTAAAATGTTCTCGTAGTTCGCTCAACTAGCTTGGGACTTACTTCCAGTTTCTCGTTAATGTACGGTCTTCTATATTTGATCGTTTGGGACTGGCCGCTAGTAAACCTTAAATGCATTTCCTTATAGTATTTGTCCTCTCGTTCCCAGATATCGTCATTTTGATAATCTTTTTTATTTCCGAAGTTTTCTTGGTTCTAGTCAAGACGATTTCAACTTCAATATGCATGTTTTTGCATTAACGCAATTTTCATCTAAGTAACAGCGAGAGAATATATCATTCCGTTGGTAACTGAGTAACTTCCTCCGCTTCCAAAATCTTGATAACAGTTTTCCCCACAATATGTCATACAATTCTAAAGATTTCAGTCGTAATAATTTTATTTAAAGTCAATCATTATCTTCTTGATGATGCTTTTCTTCCTTCTCAGTATCTGTCTCCTTGAAATCGTTTGTTATTGTAAATAATAATTATGTTTTGGTCTCTTCAGTCCGGAAAGACTTGCGAGTATTTTGCTGTGTTTGTAGATCCTTTGGTACATTTCGTGGCCTAGCACTGCTTTTAATACCAGCACATTTCTCAAAGATTACGCGCTCTAGGTACCGGCATCCAGTGATCCAAAAATTTGGATATAATTTCGAAGATGGCATTGCAATTCCAATAGTCTCTCAGGCATAAAACGGAAATTAGAAATACCTAATTTTTGAAATTGAGATGTTTATTATCACTAAGCTCCTCAAGAAGAGTTTTGAAGGGTTTCGTAACAAACATTATCTATATACGCTAACTTATAGCGGGAAGCTAACGAAATTTCCCTTTCCTATCACCGTGTTTCAGACAATGTACCAGACCGAAAAAACAAAAGAATATGTTTCCAGAATATTCGTCTATTTATCTCGCCATGCAACGAAGTAAACAGGCGTCTAACGTTCTGCTTAGCCTAATTTATAACCATGGTACTGAAGTGGCATTGTAGTATAATTGTTGCTATAAAACTGCAAAATTGTACGGTCTTCTATTCAAATATAATAAACATGATTACGCTTCTTTAAATTGTTTAAACTCGGTGATACAATAAAAACCGACTACCGTACTTTATTAGACGAGCTGGTAAAATTGATGTTTCGATCCAATGGTTAGAAATAATTTAGGGTTTGGTTTATTGTCCAGTTTTCAAGAAACGTGAGCGAATATTCAGGAACCGAAATAATTTTTCTTATTTACTGAATTTCAGAATATAGACGAGTGATGAAAAGATACTAGGTGAGGGAGAAATTATTTTGCATGTCCAGCTAATTTTTCCACTTTAGTTTAAAAACCATATCATTGATTTCCGCTCGACTGATCAGGGAAAAGCATGCAATGTCTGTGAACTTGTGCATTCATTATAAATGAAATGATATAAGTGCGTTCTTATTTTCTTATTAGCTACAACCAATTCTCGAACATACCTGCTGCTGTGTATCTGGGAAACATTTCTTTACTTCTTTGGCTCTTTTCTAATTTCTGAATCCTGTTTCTCCTTTCCGGGCGAGCTAGCTTCAAAGTTAAAGATGTGTACATACCATGGAAGTTCTAACTTACAGAGTCTTTGTACAGGTAACTGCAGAAACTACATCCATCATGAGTCGGTCATAAATTGTACCCCAAAATTTGCGAACGAAGTTTCCAACGCAGGTGAGATGCTTACCCCACAAGAGCCAATAATTATTGCGCAAAATGAGCCGTTAAGTTCGAGCTTTTGTTGAAAAAAAATTTGCCCGAGGCTCTTTTCAGGAATTGACGTCATATCAACAAAACCCCCCTGCTTAGAATTCAAACACTGACATAATACATCTAACCGTGTCGCACTGGTGACATAGTTGCTAAGCCGGCGTTTTTGTTTTTACGACCCAGCACGACATTGGAGCTAAAAAAATCTAGATTTATAAAGAAAATATTTGACATGAGTAAAACAACATTTTTGGGCGAAAGTCCCCTAAGGGATAACATATTTTCCGAGCGAACATTCCTAACGTGAACGCTCTAAACGTGAGAAAACTCGAAGCAGTAATTTTTATCCTTTATGTGATTGATTTAAAAACCCCAACCAACCAATTAGATGTTAAACCCTTTGAGTGTTAAGTTGAATCGCGATAACTTCCTAACTCGCTCAAAGCTTTACTTACCACCGACTTGGAAAGCAAAATACTCGGCCAGAGCATAAAGAACAGTTGGGCGGCTCCTGAGCTGTTAGCTAACAGGTTAGCGGAAGGTGTATGAGGAAATAGGCTTGGCTGTTTGTGGCATTAATTTGCTTTTTGCTCCTGTAGACGACTTCCGATTGAGCGGTTGAGACTTAAAGGTTAATAACTGTGTCGCTGCGCTCTCGGACAATACACAATTTTCGTCGTGACCTCTTCAGTCGGGTGAAAAGATTAGTACACTAGCAGGTGAACTGTTAAAGAAGGCAAACCTGACAAAGTTACAACAATTTGAGACTATGAAAAACTAAGGAGCACTGAGAGGACTGAATTTGTATTCAAAACGACATTCGGCGAAAAAACCCACTCGAATCTGTTAGGATATTTATGAAAGCAAAAGAATATATATCTACACAAAAGCAACAGTCTTCTAAGACATCCAGGACGCTAATCAAATAAAAAAGAAAAAGTATCCAAACCTTTTTCTTGTAGCTAGCAATAGCATGTCGCAAAAGAAACAAAACTGAAGTACTTAGAAAGATGTAGCTTTGTCAGGTACTTCAGTGGAGCTGTTCAGTCTTTTCTGGTTGATTCTTCTTGTTGAAGAACTAGATAAGCCTCGTGCCTTACTTTTATTTAAGAGCTCCTGATCATCTAAACATTGAACGTAAACTTAACATCTGTCTATTGTTAAAAAAATTAATCAAGGGTTAGTTTGCTGGTGATCATCCATGCAGACTACATCGAAAATTAAAAGCAAACCATCTCTACTTTTGCCTTGGGCGAGCTAGGTCTGCCATGAGAACAGTTTTGGTGGAGAGGAATATTCTTGACTTAGAAAGACAACCATAATAGAGGTTGATATTTTCGTAAGATTCAACGCTTGTAATTGTCACTTATTGTAAAAGGCAACGAAACACTATATAAGGTGACCCACGAACGCATCTCAGTCGTTATGGTAAAAAAATAACATGCAACATTTATTAAGAATTTATTCATAACTGAAACACAAGGCAGACGAAGGAAAATCAAAACACTCCATGCATGATGAGCTTAAAATTTGTCGAGAAAAAATAACCTTTCAAAAAAATTTTCTGCGATGATCTGCAATTAGAAAAAGATTGTATCAACACCTCTCTAAAAACGCACCCCTTATTGTATATCCTGTTAGACATTGTTCTCCAATTAATGTAACGTGATTGATATTGTATTGTTGAACAATATACCCACTCAACACCATACAAATCGAATATCTTTTATTGACTTAAGTGGCTGAAAACTGCTATAGGAATCGGTTACTTAGAATCATCTGCGCTGAAATCACTACACCGTTTATCAGAGAAAATTATTTTACGCAGTTCCAACAAAATTGTTGGTTTGGGATTCTCTAATAGTTGCTTTCATGGCAATCGAGAAATTATCACATGATTTCGAGTGCAATTGGAATTAATCAGCGCGAGTAACTTTTTTTCCAAGGCTAACCAAACTTCACGAGCCTGTAGGGTGAGTGCAATTTTAAGTCTTTGAAAAATGTACGATAGCTGATATATCCCGAATTGCACGAGAAAAATAGAGTCATTACTAGTTAATAATATCCATTCAAAAAAGTGACTCTGAAGTTGCCTTTATATCGTGTCATGGCTTACCAGTTCGGCCGCTTGCCTTTGCCTTGTTACCAGAGTAGTAAGGCTTTTTCGTCAAGAATTTGCTTCAAACTTCAAAACCTCTCTCGAGAATAACTGAGCGTTTGTATTCTTTCTCTGTTAGGTATCAGTCGACAGCAGTAACTATGATACGAAAGCTGTCACGCACGGTAATCTGGCCGCCGTCTTTCGTCCTAACTGTTGCGTAAAGTCCTCCGTAATACTCCTCGAGAATTTTATTTAGGGCTTCATACTTTCATACCTGTTTTTGGAAGCCACACTTTTGGCCAGTTGTTTTTCTTTTATTGGGTGTTTTTTTTAAAGCATTCTCCCTCGAGACTATGCTCAAACTCTGAATTAAGACGTTGTTACTTTCTCCACACCTGTCCGCCATTTTGTTTGTTGTGGTTTCGCGACTCACCTGCCAACCGATTAATTTTCAACTTTTTGAAACTTGTGAACTCAATTTCAACTTTCTCATTCAGTTTCAATTTTCGGCTCTGTTTGGTATTGATTGACGTGTTCTCAACCAAAGAGTATGCTGATACTTCTTCACGTACATTATCATTTCAGTAATTAGAAATGCATGTTTACAAGGTATTTACAGAATAAGGATTGGCAGCGCAGTACTGAGACCAGCATGTACATTCAAAATTTTGAAAACTTCCTTCTTGGTTAAAAAAACACTTTCTTTTCAAGAGCTTATTCATAGCATTTATTTGTCTGCAGATGAAATTCTAAAAAGTCGTTTTTATGATATAACATTATTATAATACAACGCGTGAGTTGGACCAGGTGAAGAGAGAGATTTGGGAACCTTTGAACTAAGAAAATTTTCAACCAAACAAGAGGAAAATCAATATTAAAAATAGTAACAGATTAACTTCCCTGTTTATATTATAGTTCAAACGAAATACAATGTTAATATATCAAGGTCAAATTGGGGTAGCGTTTGGAAGCACATTTTCTTTTTAATTAAACAAAGAGTTATGGTAACTGAATTCGAAAGGAAATTTTCTTTTTGTGTGCTCGTCGTCATATCGAACTACTCATGTCTACAGAGACAAGCACGTAACTTTTTGGATAAATCTTTAGATGTGCTTTATAACGACTAACTGGACAATGGGGGAAATTTTTCTTCTTTTTGTAATTAGTAGAATGTTCAAGTTTCGGACCATGGATATATGAAATAATGCATTTTAGTAACTCTTAGTGGGTTTATCGCAGACAGATAAATTTAAGATCAATTTTTTTGTCTTACCAACAAAAGTTTAGTTTTCAAAACTTTGATTCCATTAACTGACATTTCTTGCCCAAGAAGCTATTTTTGATTGGTAAATTGGCACAATTATACGTGTGGAAATCTTTTCATTTTATCCTTTATTGCATTTAATATAATTTGAAAGTGGTATTTTGACGTTTCTATTACTGGTACACTTCTCCTAGCTTACTAACCTGGTAAAAATAACTCTTCCCTAAAATCTTTTCTTGCCCGTTATTGCCCATATATGCTTTCCACAGCACTCAACATCAAACATATTTACACTACATACGTCCACGGGTGAATTGACTGACATATCGTGTTCCATTACTTTGTATCAGTAAGAAAATATACATCTCGCACTCATTAGCAATTTTCCTGCATCCCTACTGTTCCGTATTCAAAAGTACAAGCTCATATATGCTTCTCTAAATCTCTGTTTCTTGAGGTCTTTTTCGGTTTTGAGCTGTCAAAGAAAAGGTTTATATCAACAAATTAGACTTCAGAAAACAGCACACCAAACAGCATCTTTAAAGTTTCAGCACCGCATTTCTATGTAAGAGCGCACTTTTTCAAAAGGAAATATTTTTTACCATAACTTTAACTTGCGGGTTTAAGCTGGTGATTCTATTGACCCGTCTCATGTACAATTCCCAATGATGTTTACAAATGCTTACCATTAATCTGGCATTTGTTCCTTCGTGGTTATGAATGTTTGAGCAGTCTCTTACTTTGCGAAAAGATTGAAGATAACTAGATGGGACAAAAGATGTATTTCAAGATTATCATTTATCTTTTGAATATCAGAAAAAAAAAAATGACTTCAAAAATAAAATAATCCTCATTAAAGAAATTAAGTCATTAAAATACAAGTATGTTGTGTGATTGTGGCTTAATTCATTCTAGTGAAGGGCTAACCCCAGAAACATCAGCTTTAGGAACACTCTACGATGGCCAATTTACATTATCAACTCAATTGATAAAACCAAATTACCTTTAAATGTTATACCCCCTGACACAGCACCACAGTGTTGTTAGATATAAATAAATTACCCCTTAATTATAATAAAATTACCTTCTTGTGTACTTCTCTCCTGTTGTTAAGTGATGATTGTAACATTTCCGACAAAGATAAACCTTTTTGTACTCATAGTAATCTCCTACTGGAGGACTTTGACAAGAATTACACTGTGAACAAACAGTTGGTCATGATTAGAATTGTATGAAGCAAATGGTTGCAATAAATGACAAAGCATACCCACAAACATTCTTAACGAGCAGATAAGAAATTTAAAATTAAATTACGACAAAATTCTTTTAAAACACTCTACACCCAGACATCAGTATGTATATTCTCCATACTCTTCTCCAAACATTTCCAAAGGTTCTGACAAGGAGAGAGAGAACTTCTTTAGTTGGTGATCATTTCTTTTATTCTTGTCACCTTAATGTGTGACTCAGGGGTGATATTGTAATTAGATGATTTTAACCCTTAGGGTCAAAGGCTCAATGTGAGAAAACTCCACAAGCAAAATTTTTAGAAGTTCGGTCAAAAAGAACAACAATCTTTGTCTGAACTTTAATAACCTATCGATCAATAGGAAGTTGTCTGGGATACTTACAATATCTGGCTCTCCAAATTCATTGCATTTAATTGTAACTGATGTTATCAAGGTCTGTGGTCCACCAAAAGAGCCATGATACTTCACCTTCCTGTCTCTTTTGGCATCAAACTCATATGCACCAGGCCTGAGTTGAAAATATTGAAAATCATGTTACAAAACAATGCCAATGCTCAGACCTTCAGCCACACTTTGCTTTGTTTGTTTGACTTTTTTTTATGTTTGACTTCCAAGATTTCATATTGTCAAGCAATTCTCCCATCTAGCTCCTGTCTACTTCTTTAATTTGTATATTGGCCTATGAGAAATTTTTGGGCTGAATTGAAATATAACACTCAATCTGCCCCTGATGAGTATGCATGCTTTTTCTCTTGAGAGTTGTAATCACACACCCAAATCTAGTACATGAACATCACTGGGTATCAGGTTGTACAACCTGTATGCAGGATATAATGCATTGAAACTGTCATGAGAAGCAAAACATCCAGCACCTCAGAGCACATTAAAAATAAAACCTTCAACTGTTTAGGAGCTTAATAATTATTGTCCTCACATGATTTAGGTACTACATGACTACTGTCAGCACATAATTGTCCAAAATGTTTCACAAGCAATCTACAAACCAGACTAAACGTGGTATCTCTGACACCCCACTTAAATTAAGTCATCATCTGACTAAAGTAGCAAACTACATCATCCAAAAGAGAAAAGCATTTTAAAAAGAAAAATTTTACCCACCCTGGATGGCCGTGGTCCTGCAAAAGAGATAAAACGTACTGATATTATTTAGAGGTCTTGAAAACATTTACAAAGGAACTTGCATGCATAAGTTGTGTTCTGTGTAAGGATAAAAATAGAACAAGCCAATTTCTGAGCAAATTAGGATCCAAGACCATACCCATGAAATTCAATACTTTTTGAGCTGAGACTGGTTGTTAAATCTGCAGCGAGTAACATCAGCAACAGAAACAAAAATACCAGCAGTTTTCATAGGTTTTGCTTTGGGGATCAATTAAGACATTCCATCTGCAAATGTTTCTCTTTTTCCTGATAGTGGAATCCCTGATAGTGGAAGTCCACTCTCAGGGATTGATTGAAAATAAAACTTTCAGAGCAAATGAAAGCCTTATCTCTCCCACTCTGACTCTCTGATTTCCATGCAACTTCCTACAATAAAGTAGGGGCTTGTGAGAAAACTTTATACAATCAAGCCTGTATTTAGCAGTCGCCTACATGTACAGGCAATGGCCGGGTGACTGCTTGATACATGTCAACTTCTTAGTACAGGTTAATTACTTGTGTTATTTGTCCTAATGGTCCAAAGAAGAAAGATTAAGCCTGCAATGGGTCATGAGGACATTTGAAATCAAAGTACTAATACTTATTCCAAGAAATAATGGAATAAACTTCATTTGAGATATTATTCTTTGTTTTATTTTAGTGGTTCCACTTTAAGTGATCATTCAATACAGGTGGAAGACAACACAAACAGGTTTTTGGGGTTCAGTCAAGTGTGACCATGTCCACTTCATAGAGGTGACTGCTTAACAGAGGGGAAAATTACAGTGCTTAAGAGGGAAAATTTGGGGACTGCTAAATGCAGTGCCCCTTAATACTGGTGCAACTGTATCTATGAAGAGTATCACCTGGTTAATTGGTGGGAATCTTGTTGCACCAACGTTAAATGCTTTAAAAGCTTCTTCAAAGTGAACTGGTTTGCTGATAATCTCTTGATAAGTTGGTGGTCCAGGAACATCCAGCTGCAAACAGGGATAAGGAATCATATCATAAGCCACAGTGCTCATGGATGTCATTCATCAAAAACTTGAAACCACATGATTTTGAAAATTGACAATGACAACAGCTAAAGGTAGCATTGATTGACAATGATAATTAAGTTTTGAAAACCTGATGTCCTCAACATTCAGCAAAATTTCACAGTCATTATGATTACCCTTATTGTAAGCAACCTTATGGTTACCTTTTGGAGAAAAAAATTGTCATGGAAGATTTGTGCATTTAGCCTTTCTGACTTACAAAATTAAAAAAAAAGACATGAAACTTCGATGAATAAACAACTATGGCAGATAAGTTTTCTATTCTCTCTTGATTTTGAACGTCTCAAACTTGAACTTACATGAGCTGGTTTAGGAAATCTTGGGGCGGTTCTGGCTCCAACTGAATACCCTCTTCTGCATACAGGTCTTCTCTCAAGTTCATAAATAAAGCCACTACCCTGACCGGCAAGAAGAAACAATTAGGAAATTATCTTTCGAACACAAATTGTCTTGATTTCAAAACATGAATACTTTCGTCATCACCATGGTTTTTTAAAGAAACGACCTGTTACAGAATCGGTAACAAGCTATTGCTACGAAGGGTTTTACAGTATATAAACACACTGCGTAACCACTGAGGTTGTTAATCAAGGTGAAGTAACGTAGCAATCCAGCTATGTTGACTACGTTGCCATTTTGGTCTGGGGTATATCGCAAAGTTTCGACCGTATTCCACAAGTATTCATCAGGCATACCATACTGCTGGTCGTTATGAATTTCCAGATGAATACGACGCAATCAAATCGCTAATATCTACACCAGGAGTGACTACAGTGTAAGACATCCACTTCACTATAATATACTCACTGACAGGCACATGTACATCGCAGTCACGCACTCATGCTACTGCTTACTTTCCCTACAAGATCAGCTGTTTTAAGACTAATTGAAAACTGACCGAGAAAAAAATGTTTTTCAACTACCTCCGCATTGTAATAACATCCAGGGCCGCGGTTTGGAGCGCCTCGTAAGGCGAGTTCATTTCCAAAGCGATTTGCTGGAACTTTCAGTGGTAACAGTTCCCGATCAAGAGTCGTTCCAAAAGCAACTGCTCTTCGAGCTAAGAAAGGAAAATTTAGCTTTGTTAGACAAATGTGAGCAAAAGAAACATTTTTCACGAATATCTAGGGTACAGACCGTCGTTTGTAGCCATTATTTGTAATTTCTTGCCCACCAAGAAGTCAACTTTTCCTGTAGTGAAGTTACTTGTGTTTGCCCCACTTGTGATGTTGTTATGACAACAAGTGACTAACAGCCGCCGATTCTCAAAACCGCAGGCGCACACGGACACGAGGAGAGCACAATTTAAGACGAACACAAACAAATTAATTTACTTCCTTGATTACTCTCTAGTTGTCTTAGGGCGAGTTCATTCGTTTTCCTCACTTGGTTCATAAGGCTACCGGTTGCCCATTCATTCGTATGTAACGATGGAAAACATTTCCGTATTGTCTGATGTCGTGTAGTTTTTGACAGTTTCCACGCCAAGTGAATTGTCCGTGAAAAGGCGCTCGGTGCATATATCAGAGTAACGCTCAACAAATGAAAGACAATCCTGCGGTTTTCCAATAGAAATCCTTTATGAATTGGCCAACGATGAGCGGACTAAATAAATAGGTAATTTTTAATACTTTAAGGCTACTACGTAAATTTAGGATTGCATGTGCTTCCAATCTCTATAGTAACTATGACATGGCCGAAGAATACCTTAAGCATTCTCTCCTATTAAGCAGGGATATTGGACACAACTTGAGAGAGTTTCAATGCCTTTGTAGTCTATCGGTGTTAAAGGTGTCACTATTTCATTCATATCTTTTTAAAAGCATCGAAAAATTGGACACTGCGAGGTTTTCTTAAGACAGTGATCAGAGCACGACAGTTTTCCTTACAAGTTGTTCAATTGGTTGCTTTCTTCCAATGGAAAGTCTCAAGACGCCCTTTGCGTCGAAGAGCAGAGGAAAGCAAAAGGCCTAACCGACTTGATGGCAGCTCGGTACCGGGTTGTGTTCGGAGCAAATCTCAGGCTTGGTATGGCATTCAAGAGATTATCACAAGAGAGGCATACTGTGCGTGCCTGTACATTTCGGTTGGTAAAAATGATGTACGTTTTTGAATTCTCAGAGCAACGGGAGCAATTCATTTTTCAAAAAAGAAAGTAAGTCTGGAAGAAAACGAGGTGACTCGATTAGTCCTTGATTAAGATAAGTTTTTCAAGGAGAGCTTCGGCAGCCTATAATTTTACCCGAACAGGAATAAGACATCTCTAGATCTGATGTTAGCCGTCGTGACTATGATGATTTCAAAACAAAAACTTGTGACAGTGGAGATCATTATTGTCCTTGATTCCTCTGTGTACCAAGTGCTATTTGCAGCCTTGGCTGACGAAGAAGGCAAGTTTTATCGGAGACATTACTGAGGGACCTTAAGCAAACCACGACGACAAAGGCAACGAAGACATGGAAAAAAAAAAAGATCTAATTGACAAAACAATAGCTCAGCATGTGCGTTTTAAAACGTTAATTTTGTACATTTCTTAGCCGTCCTATGCAAAAAAACGACGTGAAATCACCACAATTTGCGTCGTCTGCGAACCGAAACCGCGACGGCAAATTATTTTAATTTTCATTTGGAACTCAACGTTTCTTTTATACGTTATGCTGAAGTTGAGGTGTGGCGCAGTTAGAAATTCTAATTTTTGAAATTCTAATTAAAGACAGAAATTCATTTTTTAATCGAAGTCCTCCTTGGCGTTGCCGTCCTGACTGCTTAAGGTCCCTATTCAAGATACGAATCGTTCCCTCTTTGGCAACTCTCAAGCTTGTTCAGGGCAGTCATCCAGACTGTCACAGTCAGACTGGGGCACTAATAGTGGCTGACCCTGAGATTGGAGAGTTGATTTACAATGAGATGATTGCAAGACTTCTTGGCCCAACACCTTTGATTGGAGGTCCCGCGACAAAGTATGCTGTACTTCTAGTGATAAATGCAGTGAGCCTGATACTAATTGCTGCCCATAGTGATACCAAAAGAGGGGGGATTGCTCTTTCTTCTAAGCACCCTTCCCCATCTTTTCCATGAGAGGAAGATTACCTTTTGATGATGGCGGATATTACGAAAATTTTGGCTGCAAGCTAAACTAACGGTGTTGAGCTATTGTCACAGTGCTTGTGGACAGATAAGAACCGAGCGAGTTATCGGAATTGCCTCGAGCGTTCTTAGGATTCGGTAGTCACACGGCGTTAGCGGCACTTTGGTAAATTATTTATTAGATGTTGGGAATCACTTAAATAGTTTAAACAGACAGGTAAAATAAATATTAAAGACTTTCACTCCTTTGAATAAAAAAAAATAGAAAATAACGAACAAAAATTGAGACTAAAGTGATAAAACGTGTTCACAACCAAAAATTGAAGAGGCGGACAAACCTCTTATTGAAACAATTTGAATCATCTTCCTTGATATACCACATAAATTCATTAATTCTTCTTAGTTGCCTCCCGCAGAGATTAATTCTGAGAACGAACAAAGCAATTACGAAGTTCTTTCAAGGTTGTGGTTTGTTATGCCTGGTAGACTTAAGAGGAATAAAGATTCCGGAATGTTTGTGTAGTGATGTTTTCCAACCATGCGGTTTAAAAAATAAATCTACCACTTGATGAATGCTTCTCGAACTTGACGAAGAGTGACAACGCGACTTACAGTCTGCGATTCCAAACAGTAGTTAATTTCTTTTAACGAAAGTCAGTAGACTTCAAAGTACGGTGAACATTTTGTACATGCAAAAGGAAAATCCTTTAAACACCGGCTCTTGCTTCAATTGGCCATAGCCAATTTGAATTAAAAGTTAGCGGCCTTTTCCTTTTCCTTCTAGCCGAGCAGGCGTAGCGTGAGCTAAGCGGGAGACCGAACATTTCTGCTTCCTTGAGCCCTATACCTTTGCATAACTCTTGCTTCTCTCGCTTAGCAAATTAGCCCTGCCACGCATGTCACCTTCAGCTAGAATAATAACATTGCCCAAGACGATTATACTGGACCATAAACATCCCGCATACTTCAAGTTATCAGTTATGATACAAAACGAGAAGAAACTTTCAAAATACTTTCTTTGCTACGAAGAGGTTTTTTAGCTTGGGTGTTTGTTTATCCCTAAAAAAAATCCACCTAGTTTCTCAAGTTTACCATTCACAACAAGCAACTTATTCTTCTTCATTTCTAATCAATCTTGTTCTTACTTGATTTATTACTACCCGTTTTTCCATTTTTTTAAAGTTACCCAACCAAAATTCCAGGTGTCCCACAAATTAGAAGTCAGGTGCAATGACATAATTTGAAAAAAACGGTAAGAAGCTGAGTCATGTGTCTACTTCTGGTTCTAGATGATGCGTTTCGTTCTATCAGCTTGAAATACCTTTGTGGTTTTTTTCTACGCTTTTCAACCACCACAAGAGAGAGCTGTCATTTTCGCGACAAATAGGTATAGGAAGTGATTAATTTTAACCAATTTCGACTCAGCTTGAATCATGACGTCAAAAGTGCAATTATCGAGCTTAGGCAATTTTTAAATGCTTTCATTTCTGAACAAAAAGCTGAGGTTTGCCAAGTTGTGTATCCAAATTTAAATCATGCCAGAATATCGAGCTGTTAATAAACGTTGGATACCATCACACGCAAATTAAAAATGTATGACGTATGGGAACGTCTGAGAGCCTCTGAAAGAAGTAGAAAAGAGACGGATGGGCAAATCATTCGCAGTCACCTAACTGGGTTGTGCCATCTGAGCAAAATTGGTCGCAGTTGGAATTTTTCAGGGAAAATAGGAATACTTTCCTCTTTATGATCTTCGTATACCTTGAAAGGGTTGCCTTACATTCTTTTTTTTTCCGTCTCAAAAGAAGCGAAAGCAAAAGACTGAAATAATTACCACAAATTATACGGTACCTGTTTCAGTGGGTCTTAAGATAATTGCATTCCGGTTGGTTGAAATAACAGACAAAAAGGAACCCTAATCAGGAATGTCAAAGATGTTTAAAACACGAGTTATTTGTATGGTTTCAGCTGATACCGTTGCCACTTCTTCAATTAATAAAATCGTTAATTTATGTCTGTGAAAGACTCCATTGCCTATAGGAAATGTGTCAGATATGAGAACCAGACATCCTAAAGTACCCCAGACAGACCTTAGACAGATAACGACATAACTGAGAGGGCTAATGCACACTTGTATGTAAACATGTTTGCTTATTTGGCGGGAAGAATTAAGAGAATTTGAAATATCTTTTAAGTTTTCCTGTTTTCCACTCATATATCTCTAATGCTCCAGCTTTGAAAAACATATTTTACGGTATTCAAAGGCAAACAAATGATAGTAACAGCTGCAACCAGCAGCGTATTAATACTCAAGATTAAAAGACTTGTTATAAAAAACATCAAATTGTTTGCGTTCGATAGGCTTGAAAACACCTGAGGTTATCAAGTTATTACCAATGTTCTGACGTCAATCTGACTTCAACAGAAAGCAAAGTTGGTTATTTCCTATCATTTTCCGAAGCGTCCGACAAACAGAATAGATCTTCAATTTCTCTTTTGCAACGAAATCCCACCATTTTAATAAGTAATACTTGCTTTGTCATCAGTGTAGCAAATCAAGCGTACTTTAGTGGAATACCGCAAAATTAACAGAAAACTGTTGCATCATTGCTCGCTCGAAAAAGGTTACTGTTTGAATTAAGAATAACACGGCAAGAAAATTCAGAGTATCGGAAATTTCATAAAATTTCTTACAATTTTTTTCATTCACATCGAATTGAACGATCGATGATTCTCCTTGTTCAACACGAGTTAGAAATATCATGTACACCATAGTGTGTGGTGGTTTTGCTTTTTAGGGAGGCAGTTCCGTTGCTCTGTTTGTTGCCTTTGCCTTCTATGACTACTTAAACGGTTGAAAATGTTGAAAATAAAGTTTAATTGGATGATGGATTGTTGATGGTTTTCAGAAGACATAACAACTTGTCACGTCCACTGTTTCAAGACGGAAAACCCCCACGGCTGTTCAGCATTCGTCTGTGAAGATACGTGAGGAGATGCATTTGGGAAATGTTTGAAATACTCAACGACCGCAAATGGCGTAAAATCGATAAAACGGTGACGCGAGCGAGTCATTTGCCAAAGTGGGAAAAATTACTCTGCGTAGGAAACAACTCTACACAGC